AAAAAATTTTGAAAATTTGAAAAAATGGGTCGGCGGGTTATGCAAAACGAAAAATTAACTTTGCGTGGCCTTATATAGAAAACAAAAGAATATATGAAAAAGAAACAAAAACAACATAATTTTATGTTATTTGGTTAAATATATCATACATGAAATGCGAGAAATAATATTTTCCACTAAAACCAAGTATATTATATGTTTATTATCAATAAATTCAAATCTACCACCCATGATCAATAGACCCAAGAACATTACAAAAACCAAACAATCTCAAATATAAATCCGATTCTTTCATTGTAACAAACTTGCACCTACTATACCAAGCTAAACGGTTAGTAGTGGCTTATTTAGATTAACTTAGTTGAGTCGTTAACAAACATATTTTTTGCTACCTTTCGTTAGTTAGTTGACTGTCTACAGTGTTTTTACGAAATAGCTTCGTATTGTCCAATAAACGAGAAGTATATTTTGCCTTCTAAGCAAAGTCTGTCAAATTTAGAGATTATTTGAGATTATTTTATAGAGTTAATATTAGCGTTCGTTTGAAGCTAAAAATGATTTTACGACGAATTTTTGTTAGTGAAACATTACATTTCTAAAATGTTACTTTAAAGTGTATAAATAAGTTACCCGGGCAATTGATTTCATCAGCCAATGTTCATCAGCCAATCAGACGAATGTCCATCTATGAGGACGGTCCCTTGACTACGTTATATTGTGTTATATCAAGTGACCACGCAGGCTGATTAATACATATGGAGTCAACGCGATAAATTTTTTTACGTGTACAGGAGTTTAGTTTAATATATTTCTTGATACCGATACTCAATTAAAGGCAAGTGTTTTTGTTCTTAATTAGAGCAAGATTTGTGTATACCTTATGAGGTACTCTTCCACTTTTAAGTGTCGAACGGAACCTTGGGGTTGCTATTATAGCAATGCGCCTAACGATATACGGATTGCTGTTTCCCGCTTCAAGTTTGTTTATTCAAGTTTGTTTATTCAAACTTGTTGCTTGGCTTGGGGGTACTACTTACGGAGTACTCTTCCACATTTTTTTGTGTTGAACGGAACTCTGGATGTCATTTCTGACGACTCTAACGTGTACACGGCAATCAAGCAAATCTCGTAATAACTGTAAAATAACCATTAAATCATTTATTAACTTTTTATTCTTTGTTATATTGTAGATTATAATGTCAACCCGGTATGTTTCTTTACGTTTTTTAAGTTTTATAATCAATTTGCCTAACGAATCATATGCGTTAGTCTTTTCCTAAAAAGAAAACGACAGAAAATCAAACTAAACGAAGCTCGTATGGAATTACATATGAATCGGATCATAGTAAGTCTACCAAGTACCTTTTGTGGATAAAGATTTTACCAGCATATTTAGTTGCGAAGATATAACTTTTAGTTTTTGTAATGCAGAAAAAACATAAACTTGAGACTTTGCAAAATGCAAGCAACCAAGTATTGGATTTCCAAACAAAATTAACTGAAGAATTAGGCAAGAAACGTTTATCGGAACCTATAGTTGTACCTGACCAAACATTAAAAAGTAATGATGATCAAACTATAGAAGAGAGTTTTAACTCTTCGGGTCTTGTCAAGGGAAAGGATACGGCTAATTCCTTTCTTTCGGTAAATTTATAATATCTTAACGGTAATTAAAGTTTTGAAATTTAAGTATTAATCATTTTATTACACCTTGATGTTTAGGATGATGAGGTATCATCAACTAAATCTACAGTTGCACCTGCAACATTACTTTATCAAATGGACGTGAATAATGATAAGCAAGTCGTAAGAGACAGTTTTGTTCCATCGGGTTCTAAGGAAAAGGATATAGTTAATCAGTTGTTTTCGGTAAATTCTTAATATAATTGACGCTTTAGCTAGAAATTAAGCATCAAAATAACTTTTTTTTACAATTTAACGTTTCAGTATGACGAGAAAAAGGCCGCTTATTATTATAAAGAAAAGCAAAAAAACCAGCTATTAAGTAGTAAGGTTAGGACTTAATTTAATTTTAGAGAATTTCATTTGTACACGGGTAATATAGATATCTCAAAATTTTGATTATGAAACACCTTTTGGCTTTTAGAAAAAAAAATTCCTTGTGAAATTTTAGTATAAACTATGCCTAGCCCAATCCTAAACCAACCCTTACCCTAACAATAAGCTGGGGTTTAATTTTTCGTCTGTAAAAATTGGTTTGATTGGCATGTTACACGAATTTGTAAGATTCAATTAATTATACCCGTGTATAAACACTACGTGTAAACTAATAAATTTTCAATTATTATTTTACTCTTTTTACAAAAAATAACTTTTTTTTTTTGCACTTTAACATTTCAGGATGATAAAGAAAGGGACAATCATTATTATGAAGAAAAGCAAACAAATCAGTCATTAAGTAGTAAGGTTAGGATATACCGGTAATTTAATTTTTATCTTACCCTTTTTTTTATAAAAATAAAATTTTTTGTTTTAGGGGAATGTACTTCCTGATGTAAATGATATCGAAAGACCGACGTCTTTAAATTTAGTACCGTCGAATGATTCTTCTCAAGAAATCAATGAAGATGACTGTGAAGGTATACTAAAGATGCTTGACGAAATTATTTTTGAATTGACGAAAGGTATCGTCAAATTACATACCTGACGAAACCTTGACGA